GGTTCCAAAGGCTTTGAGAAAATTTGCACTTTGCAAAAACATGGTTTGCATCTTCCATATAACTACCACATAGGACACATGATGGGTTTGATACTAAATCAACACCACGCTGTATGAGGTTGTCCTTGGTAGGGAGGCGATTTAAGCAGAGGCGCCAGGTGAAGACACTAACTTTAGCTGGCATCAGTTGATTCCATATCAATTTGCAAATGTTCTCATCAAGGCAGGAAGGAGAGACATCAAGAAACAAGTATGCCATTTTTGCAGAATATCTTGAGGGACAGTGCTTCCAAATTTTTCTATCTGCTTTGCCTTCGGATACAGTAGCACTTCGCAAAGTGTCCTCCAATATCTTGAGTTCATCCAGCTCTCTTCCAAAAGGGGATCTACGCCATTGGAGATTCCAGCTCTCGCTATTGGTTGGTTTCAAATTAGCAACTGTCGATTCCTTGTCCAAAGTGAGGTTGAATAGTCGAGGAAATTCAAGCTTTAGAGGAGAGCTTCCCAACCAAATATCCTTCCAGAAGCTAGTTTTTGAGCCATCACCCAGTTGATGTGTGAAACCATTTGAAAAGCTCATGACGGTTCTATCACATACCCTGTCAATAGATAAAATGTCCTTCCAAAAAGAAGATAATCTTGAGGATGTAGTGTTGTGGATAAAATTACATGTAGAGCCAGCATAGTATTTACTAACAACAATCTTTGTCCATAGTTTCTCATTTTCAGCATCATCGTAGAATTTGTTCCACCATTTTCCTAAGAGGGCGATGTTCCTAATGGATAGGTTTGGGATACCGAGACCTCCCTTAGTTTTAGCTAGAGAGACCTTACCCCAATTAACCCAAGCAATCTTTTTATTCTCATCAAAACCCCCCCTTTCGTGTGGTTGCATATGTGTATGTGTTTCATATATTTGGAGTCTCAAACTCCTCATAGTAGTTGTCATTCCTCTTTATTCATCTACATATCAACTCAATTTTTTTTATAGTTTTATAGACATTAAAAAAAAAAATACAAAATTTAATGACAATTAAAATGTCACTAATGATACTCTTTTCGTTTTAGAATAATAGGCATTTTTTTATTTGAAATTTATTCCACAATAATAATTGTTTTTTCATTTTTTAAGGGAGGTAATTTTTTTTTCTATTTTAACTTTATGATTATCTCTTAATTTTAACTATCTATAATATTAGAAATTTTTTTTATTTTAATTTCTTTTTTAAGGGTAAAATAGGTAAACATAGTAATTATTTCCAAATTCTTAATCTCAAGATAAAAGCAAAAAATGTCTATCACTTTGGGGCAAAGGGAGTAATAAAAAGATTAAAATACCTAGAATGAATTAACATGAAAAAAATATATCATCACGAGTATTTAAACAATTTCATAGAAAATCTTACATATTGTTTAATATAGTTTTGGTTTTAAATTTTGAAGTTTTATTTTTTATCTATCTAATAATTAACTAGTACTATATTTAAATTAAATTTAATAAATTCAAATTTTTATAATAAATTTTGATTCCTAAATATAATAATAATTACTAAATAGATAAAAAATAAAAAATCAAAACCTAAAACGAAAACTATATTAAACAGAAATTTAATATTTTAAATACATAAACATCTTAAGTTTTCCTAAGCTCTTATTTATATATTGTGCTTGATTACATACAAAGTGCCTCGCTCTTTCCGTTGCACATGTGCATCTTTTGTGTTTATTTATTTACTTTCTGAAAACAGATGAATGGGCTTCGCCTCCGATAAAAATCAGTAATAAGGGCACAAAACCAATTGAGTTTCCCTCTCCACGAGCCCAGGGTAAAGTTGATAGGCGGCAACCAAGGAGGAAGAATAATATTTGGAATCCTTAATTAGCGCCGTTCGTGTTGTGGGGTTAATGATAAGGCTTGTGGGAGTCCTTGAATGATTTCATCAACCTTACGAACAACACACAACACAGCCTGCAGCTACCTAAATAAAAACCGCAACATTATCCTTTCTCTGTTTTCCATTTTATTTGTCACAAGTATTTTGGAGTTCCGACTTTCTTGTCTTTCTAATGTAATTTCCTTTTATCAGCAAAAATTTTTTATGAGACTGACTCTAAAAATATATTTGATTTAAGAGAAGCAAAGAAGAGAAATGAATTTTTTAATTTATTAATATCATAATATTAACTAATATTATAATATAATTGGTAAAAAAAAATTCATCTTTCCCTCAAGACAAAAATATCCTAAAGGTTTGTGAACTAAAAATTTTTTAAGTTTGTACCTTTTTTTTTTTTTGAACGATATTACATGGGGCGGCCTTGAACCCTGCCCAACGGAGGAGGGGGATTGGGGAGGGGGAGTGCACCTTCATGTGTGGTTGGAGATTACTTGACCCGAAAGCCAGATGCTTTTAAGTTTGTACTTTAAAGTAATAAAATGTTGACATTTATATATATGATAATGATTCAAGCATGATAATCTAAGTACAATGTGATGTGAAATCTCCAAATA